TTAACCCCCCACCCTTCCCCCTCCCTTCGCTCCCTCCCCCCCCTTGCTCCTCTCCTCCTTCTCTCTCACCATCATTCCCCTCCTCCTCCCCCCTAATCCCTCCTGCTGCTTCTGCTCGACCCACCTCATACTGCCTCCTCCCCCACTCAGCTTCCTCCTCCCTCGTCTTTCCTCGTCTCTCCGCTCCTCTCCACCCCTCCCTTTCCTCCGCTCCTTCTTTCCTCCTCCTGCTACTCCTCCCCTGCTCACCTGCGAACTAGGACGGTTACCGTCGTTCATCGACGTTGGATTCAAGCTTCCAAGACGTCAAACATGACAAGGTTGAAGCTGCTCCTCTTTCATCTCCTCCTTCCTCCTGCTCCCGAACGTCCTTTCTCCACATTCTCTCCCTCCCTCCCTCCCCCGCTTGCTCCCTCGCTTCCCCCCTCCCCCCCTCTCTCCCAGTCCGTCCCTTCTCTCTCTTCTCCCCTTTCCTCAACAATCTTCCCAAATTCCTCGCTCTCTTCATCAGCTCCTCTTCGTCCCCTTCGTCCCCTTCGTCCTCCTCCTCCTCCTCTTGGTTTTCTTTGTCTCATCATCATATCAGTTTGAGCTGGTCGAGAGAAATCTCTTGGGCGGAACTTTCTTAGTGCCGAAAGACGTCAAAGCGCATCTTCTTGTGAGTGCTGCTGCTGCTGCTGCTCCTCCTCCTCCTCCTCCTCCTCCTCCTCTTCTTCTTCCTCCTCCTCCTCCTTTTCCTGCTCCTTTTCCTGCTCCTCCTCTATCACCACCGCTTTCTTACTTGTCCTCTGCTCTCTTCTGATTCGCCTTCAGAGGGAGATGGGGCTCGGGTATGAGGAGATGTACAGCCCGAGAAAAGACGACCCCCCGCATGAAGGTAGCCAACGGGGAAGGGAGGGAGGGAGGGAGGGAGGGAGGGAGGAGGAGAAGGAGGAGGAGGCGGAGAGGAGGAGCAGGAGCAGGAGCAGGAGCAGGAGCAGGAGGAAGAGGAAGAGGAGGAGGAGGAGGAGGAGGAGGAGGGAGGATGTGTGAAGACCTTTTGCAGAACCGGATCGTCTGCTTCCTCGGCGCGACCAAGACAGCGTGTCAGAGGAGCTTTCCGTCGTGCTCAAGGGATGTCAGGAACTCCGAGGAGGAGGAGGAGGAGGAGGGGCGGGAGCAGCCTTCGAGGTCCCAAGGATGCCGGGGGATGAGGTCTCAAAGCAGAGCATCAATGATTACTTCTCCGTGCTGCTCTGCCCCGCAGGGAACCCGATCGATCTGGGAGAGGGAGGAGGAGCGGGGGGAGCGGGGGGAGCGGGAGGGAACAGCACGGATCTTGTCTTCTTGGAGGCTGCGCTGGAGGGAGCGGTGGTGGTGAAACGGAAGCTGGTGAGGGGAGGGGCATGTTTCCTTGCTATCTGTTTCCTCCCGCATGTTAGACTTCACCTGTTCCTCTTTGAGCATCTGCAACCTGCGCTGTCTGTATGTGCTCAAGGACTGAGGTTCAGTCCTTTTGTGTGAACGGTTGCAACTGCTCTCCTTCTCTAAGTCTACTGCTCCTGCTCCTGCTCCTGCTCCTGCTCCTGCTCCTGCTCCTGCTCCTGCTCGTCTATACTCATCAAGTGTCAGGGTTGCGAGTGGAACAGTCAAACTTTCATGGGCCATGAGAACAAAAAAATTGAGCAATTCGTGAGGAGACGATTCGGACCTGATGAGATCACGGTAAGCGTCCTTCCTTCCTTCCTTCCTTCCTTCCTCCTCCTGTTCCTCCTGCTGCTGCTCCTGCTCCTGCTCCTGCTCCTCCTGCTGCTGCTCCTGCTCCTGCTGCTGCTGCTCCTGCTCCTGCTCCTGCTCCTGCTGCTGCTGCTCCTGCTCCTGCTCCTGCTCCTCCTGCTCCTGCTCCTGCTCCTGCTCCTGCTCCTCCTCCTCCTCCTCCTCCTCCTCCTCCTCTCTGACCTCCCTCTTCTTCCACTTGCTCTTTTCTCTTGTGTTGTCTCGCTCTCCTTCACCTCTCCTCAGGTGGAGCTGGAGGGGCCGGAGCTTCTGTTTCTCCATCAGGAGCATCTAGGGAACTGCATGTACAGGTCGAAGAGGAAGAGAGAAAGTTGAGGAGCAGGAGGAGGAGCAGGCAGAGCAGGAGCAGGAGCAGGTGGTGGTGGTGGTGGTGGAGGAGGAGGTTGACAATAGCTGTGAAAATGAACGTTTCCCTCAGGTTCAAGTATCAAGTCAGCATCGATGGGTTTTACAGCTTGAGGGTTCGAGTCCTCCGGCAGAACTACAGGTCCTCGATACCTTCAGCTTCGTCTTTCCACCATTTCCTCTCCTCCTCCTCCTCTTCCTCCTCTCCCTACCCCTCCTCCTCCACGTCCTCGTCCTCGTCCTCCTCCTCCTCTTCCTCCCTCTCCTCCTCCTGCTCAACCCTCCTTCTTTCATCCTTTTCTCCAAACTCCATGGGTTACCTCCTCTTCCCCCTCTCGCTGCTCTCAGTGAATCTTCCGCTGCTGCTCCTCTCCTTTCCTCCCCCTCTCTTGCTGCTCAAAGTGCGTCAGGTCGGTCGACGAGCTTCGCGTCTATCGTCCTGAGATCTACTTCGACGATCCTCTTGGCTCGGGTTTCTGGCTCGCCTTTGCTGGCACCAAGGTCACCAACCTCCCCCTCCGTCCTCCTCGTTCCTCTCCCTCCCTCCTCTCCCTCCTCTCCCTCCTCTCCCTCCTCCCCCTCCTCCCCCTCCTCTCCCTCCTCTCCCTCGTCTCCCTCGTCTTTCTTCCATGCTCTCCTCAACTGCCTGCCAGGTCAAGGACGTCACGGGGGTCGAGCTCCTCCTCGACGGGAGGGACCTGCCGTCCTGCAGCAAGAATGGCAGCGACATGGCCGACGGCCGGTGGATCTCGATGCAGGGAGACGGTGAGCTGGTGCGGAGGGAGGAGGAGGACCCTGAGGGCTCGCAGCATCGAAGCTTTTCCTCTCCACTCCCTACATCGCCTGCCCCAAGGCGGTCAAGGGGGTCAGGAATCCCTCGTTTCGAGCCGGAGGGTCCGGACGGCGATGGCTCGTCGACCCCTCGCAGTTCTACTGGGTATGGGGGGAGACGGTCGAGAGAAGGCGAGAGGCAGAGGAGAGGCAGAGGAGAGGCAGAGGAAGAGGAGAGGGAGAGAAAGCGGAGGGAGAGGAAGAGGAAGAGAAAGAGGGAGAGGGAGAAGGAGAGGGAGAGGAGAGGAGAGGGACAGGAAGAGGAGAGGAAGAGGAGAGGAGAGGAGAGGGAGAAGGAGAGGAAGGATTGGGGGGGGGGAAGCCTTAGAAGGGACAGGGAGAGGTGAGGAGGGGAGGGGACTGACGCACCATCAGGTGCCGTACAAGTGCAGGGAGCAATTCTTCGGGATGAAGGAGGCAGACGCGTGCCTTGCGCGAAGAAGGATCCTCTTCTCGGGAGACAGCCACATGCGCGTCCACTACAACTCGGTCATGAAGTTCGCGTGCGGGATACCCGAGGCTGCGCAGAAGGGACACCACACGTCTCAGGTCAGAGGGGAGGAGAGGGATGATGTGGCGGGAGTGGGAGGGGGACAGAGCAGAGAGGGGAGGGGAGGATGGGAAATGGAAGACGAGGAGAATGGAGGAGAAGGGGAGTGGTAGCGGTGGTGGTGGAGCAGCAGCAGTAGGAGGAGGAGCAGCAGCAGAAGCAGCAGAAGCAGCAGAGGCAGGAGGATCAGGATCAGGATCAGGATCAGGAGCAGGAGCAGGAGCAGGAGGTTGTGGTGGTTATGGAGGAGGAGGAGTTACGAGAGGCTCAGTGTCACCTTCCTCGTCTTGCGGACAAGTGCTCACTCTCCTTGCTTTGCCTGGAGCACAACATGGTGCTGCTGCTCGTCCTCCTCCTCCTCGTCCTCCTCCTCGTCCTCCTCGTCCTCCTCTTCGTCCTCCTCCGCCTCCTCCTCCTCCTCCTCGTCCTCCTCCTCGTCCTCCGCCTCGTCCTCGTCCTTGTCCTCCGCCTCCGCCTCTGCCTTACCTGCCGCAGGTGGGATGGATGGACGCGACCGTCGACTTCTCCAGGTAAGCCCTTGGGACCCTCTAGAGCTCCTTGACGAGCTCGACCCCAGCTGGGACCTGATCGTCAGCAACTTCGGTCAACATTCCGCAGCTGGAGCCGAACACTGGACGGTGAGAGAGAGAGAGAGAGAGCTGGGCATGGGAGGAGCTGACGCGAGCCGCTGCAAGGTGGCCGAGTACGGGAGGCATGTGGAGGTGTACCTCAAGGCGATCGCCAGGAGGATGCGGGAGGCGAGAGGGAGCCGGGCTCGCTTCCTGTGGATGGCGACGCCGGCGATGGTACACGTCAGAGATAATATGGTGAGGGAGCAAGCCTGCTCCTGCTCCTGCTCCAGCCCCTGTTCCTGCCCCTGCCCTTGCTCCTGCTCCCGCTCCCGCTCCCGCTACTACTGCCCCTACCCCTACCCCTGCTCCCGCTCCCGCTCCCGCTACTGCCCCTGCCCCTGCCCCTGCCCCTGCGCTGCTCCTGCTGCTGCTGTTCTCTGCTGCTGCTGCACTTCCTCCTCCTCCCGTGAACGTGTTGGATCCTCCAGATCTCGGAGTGCATGGACTGGCGGACGAATCAGCGCCTGGCTCTGTACGAGGAGCAGGCCAAGACCCTGGTCCAGCGGTATCAGCAGGAGTTCGGCATCGAGCGCTTCATGTACATGGTGGGAACGAAGAGAGGGGGAGGAGGAGGAGGGGGAGGACGAGGAGGAGGAGGAGGAGAAGGAGGAAGAGGAGGAGGCATAGGAGGAGGAGGACGAGGAGGACGAGGAGGACGAGGAGGACGAGGAGGAGGAGGAGGAGGAGGAGGAGGAGGAGGCGATAACGCAGACGTCCAGGACACGTACAACCTGACGCTGCCCATGATCGAGGCAGCCAAGGGAGACTGCGGGCATTTCCTCCCTGCTAACATTCAGGTGCTGGGCACCCGCGAGTTCACTGATGCCACTGACGCCTCCGCAGCTCGCAGCTGTGCAGCAGTTTCTCAACCTCGCGTGCTGAGTTGGGCACCTTCCCGTCCCATCAAGTTGATCGGACAGTCCGACCGTCTTGGGGGGCGTTAGGTGACTCCCGGCCTGGCTGGCCGCCCGGCGCGGGCCGGGCCCCGGCAGACTACAGGCTACCGTGACGCCGATTGTTCGGAAGTTCAGTGGAGACACGGCCAGTCAGCAACTTAACTTCGAGTCAAGAGGTGCTGGTCAGCTAACGTTGAGTAAAAGTGTGCCGCTACCGTCACGTTTACTCAACTGAGGCCTGCGGTACTAGAGGGCACCGGGTACGTCGGTGTAGTAAAAGGAGACATGTGGAGTAAAAGTTAAGATCCCTGCAATGGAGTCCAAGAGCAACCCGCCTCAGGGAGTGTCATAAGTACCCCGGACCGTCCGATGCCTTGACACCAAAAAAAGTTTATATACCAACCGATGCGGTTTTACAACGTTTTATCGGGCATGCTTTTACACTAGGAAAAACTGTGCCCTGCTACCCCCACCCACTCATTTACCCATTTACTAGCCCCACCCCGTCATACTAGGTCGCATCGTGCGAATTCGCAATGAACAAGGTCTTCGTGCAAGCGCGTCCGAGACACTCGCTGAGCAGAGACATGGTCCAGCTCTCCCTCCCCCTCCTCTCCAGCCTCTTCCACCTCAAGCAGCCTCTCGCCGCCGACTCCCTCGGCATCTCCCTCACCTCCCTCAAGACCGCCTGCCGCAGGCTCGGTCTTCGTCGCTGGCCCTACGAGCGCGACCGTGAGCAGGAGAGGGAAACGAGGCTGGGGCCTGGGACTCCTGCGGAGGAAGACGACTGCAGCGCAGATGTCAAGCTGGCGGTCACTGCTGACACTCAGGCAGGCCAGCAACCTCCTCCATCCGCCTCGGAGGCTCAGGACAGCCAGACAGCACCCGGCACGGGGGAGAAGGCGGAGGCTTTCATGGGCGATCTGTGGGAGGAGGCAGGAAGGAAGGAGGCGTTTGCGATGATCTTTGGGAGCTTGCCGCTAGAGGTAGAGGAAGAGGGGGAGGAGGAGAGCTGGGCAGAGCTCGAGAAGATATGAATATATGTGTGAGAGCTAGTGATATGAGAAGATAAATAAATGAAAGGGCGGAACAACTTGTACATGGTATGATTACTATGACAAGTTAATGACAAGTTAATGCTCTTTTCAATGAAATAGCACTTGTTTCGATATCTCGACTGTATGTGATCAGCGTTGAAGAACTGTAAAGTACAAACATGCGAAGTACTTGTGTTTCGCGGGCGAGCAGCATCTGACCTTCGAGTGTCTTTCTGAGGTCTTGCCAAATGAAGACCTTATTTACGTTCCCTCTGATCAATAGGCGCGCAAAAGAAAACTCTAGCTCATGTTTCAAAGTGCCTCAGAAATGAAAAGAAAAGATTGATAACAAAGTCCGAACCGCTTTCAAAGTCTTTTACAAATGCTTCTTCCTAGTTCCATCTGCTCTGTCAGTCAAACTATGAAACATGTTTGGCTGATAGTAATCATACCATGTACAAGTTGTTCCGCCCTTTCATTTATTTATCTTCTCATATCACTAGCTCTCACACATATATTCATATCTTCTCGAGCTCTGCCCAGCTCTCCTCCTCCCCCTCTTCCTCTACCTCTAGCGGCAAGCTCCCAAAGATCATCGCAAACGCCTCCTTCCTTCCTGCCTCCTCCCACAGATCGCCCATGAAAGCCTCCGCCTTCTCCCCCGTGCCGGGTGCTGTCTGGCTGTCCTGAGCCTCCGAGGCGGATGGAGGAGGTTGCTGGCCTGCCTGAGTGTCAGCAGTGACCGCCAGCTTGACATCTGCGCTGCAGTCGTCTTCCTCCGCAGGAGTCCCAGGCCCCAGCCTCGTTTCCCTCTCCTGCTCACGGTCGCGCTCGTAGGGCCAGCGACGAAGACCGAGCCTGCGGCAGGCGGTCTTGAGGGAGGTGAGGGAGATGCCGAGGGAGTCGGCGGCGAGAGGCTGCTTGAGGTGGAAGAGGCTGGAGAGGAGGGGGAGGGAGAGCTGGACCATGTCTCTGCTCAGCGAGTGTCTCGGACGCGCTTGCACATACAGGGTGTGCATGGCGAAATGGGACTTTTGTCTTCTTCAGAAGGTCTTGACGATGCCCCATTGAAATGACTTGTTTTCGTTCGGATTCTATTTAGACGCCATCATTGAGACATATGGTGGGTGACCTGAGGGTACGGTAGGGTACTGGGGAATAGTTTTAGCGCGACTACCCATGTACCGGGTAAACTCTGGTCGAATGGAGGGGTAGCAGGGCAGAGTTTTATCCGATCCGACCCTGGTCTCCGAGCCTCGGAGGCTCGGACCGCGACATGGCTGGCCTGGCGCGACTCCGGCGAGGGAATGGTGCTGCGCGCAGCCCGGCCTGTTAAGTGAAGGTATCAGTTAAGTTAAGTTGGGGGACCGACAGCACTGCGGCAGTCGGCGGCCGGGCCGCGGGCAGGCGGCCGGCATGATGAGGGTTGCCACGGTCACCAGAGTCTCATCGTGTCAGGCTTTCCGAAGTTTCTCTTCTTCAACGGCCGTACAGACGGTACGGTATGGCCTGACTCCCGGCTGTCGGCAAGCGGCCGGTGTCACCGGAGCCCCCGGAGTCCGGGAGGCCCGGGCCCGGCCGCCGGGCCGCGGGTGCCCGGGCGGCCCCCGCCGGGCGCCGTGCCAGTCGGATCGGACGGTGGGCCACTGAGTGGCAGTGACTCTTGAGTAAGTCAGGCCCACGGTCAAGCGGCCCGGTCAGGTCACGGGCTCTACTAGGCTACCGAGTCCTAATTGCCTCCACGTACTGATTTTTAACTTAACCGTCACGGAGTAAAAATTCGGACCGAGCGTCCGGTACTGCCGCCACAGGCCCGGGCGGTGGCCCGCGGCGGCCGCGCCCGGTCACGGACTGAGGGCCAGTGCCGCACAACGGCGCGGCAGGCCCCTGGTCACTCCGAACGGCAGCGGCCGGGACACGAATAAGCGTGCCGGGAACTTCGGAAGTTCGAGTCAACCGTGACCGGGGCCGGCCGGGCCGCATGCCCGGCGGCCGCCGCCGGGCGGCGCGATCATGATCATCCCGATGATTATCATCACTGTGACGGTCGGACTCCTAACCGTCGAACCGGCGTGCTTGGGTAAGTTCAGGCTCAGCCGCTCCCGGCCGCCGGCGCGCGACCGTGTCCGAGCCTCTGAGTCTGTACGGCCTCAGTGGTACGGCCGGGCACTGCCCGGGGGCCGGGCCGCCGGCTGCGCGGCGGGGCAGTAGGCCACCGTGACGGCGTCCGAGTCGCGGCCCGGGCGGGGCCCGGGCGTCACACCGTGCCCGGCCACCGACTGAGTGCTTCAGTGCCCGCCCGCGGCGCCGGGCCGGCCCGGGGCCACTCGGAAGGAGGTGTAGCGGATGTTTGGTCTTGTACCGGTACTTATGATAGGTCAATCAGGGGGTAGATAACATACCCCACCCTCTTGAAAGGATAGGCCCTTGGATTCAATTGAGGGTGGGTGCTATGAAAGCCTGGAAGATAAAAGCAAGAATAAAATCAAAAAACTATTTTTAGATCTGGTGTAGATCACTTTGGAAAACTTCGTACTATTATACAATATTTTTAATAATAAACAATAGAAAAATAATTATACACTATAAATTATAAGTTATAATAAAGAGTACATATTTACATTTGACCGGGGAACTTAAAACATATTGTAAAGGTAAAAGTATGTTCTTAGTATTTTTGTAGAACTTATTTAATTTCAGTAGAGCTTTTTGAGCCTTGTACCTACACATAGTACTGGTAGATTGTACCATCAACCCTACACGACTCGGTTCATTTGAGGTGTTAGGATCAGGTTCTATGAACCTATAGAGCACCTAGTCAGATAGACGAGGTGGGGACTAGGGAGCTGTTGGGGTGGGGGTACACAAAGCGTAGGGTGTCCATATTTGACATGATGTGATCCTGGGGTGGGTAGTTAAAAGACCAGTGGATTTTCCTTGGCATCTTGTTAAAATTGTATCTAATTAGGGGGTGGTGAATGAATTGAGGGGGTAGGGGTCACAAATGAGGGGGTGTAGTCAATCCCCCAGTGCAGCTCCTCCGGCGACGAAATGTTTCAAAGATGAAGGATGTGTTTGGAAGGAGAGGGGGCGGGCAGGATGGAGGCTATCATGGGCGGAGAGAAGATCCAGATATTCCGAGCATATCGGCACAGCATGCCATGAAGAAGTGATCCTGCCAGGATAACACATGGCTCTCATCTCGTTGATGGCAAAAGTCGTTACTGACCGTTCAACTGTTACCTTCTGCAATGTTTTAATGCTTGTTGCTGGTTCGCTTTCTCTTCTTATTGCATGAGACAACATCTTCTTAGCGAATTTCAATGATATTGTGCGATTGAATATTGATGTGACTCATCTATACTTGTAGTTGCGTTGTTGCAGCTACACTGTCTTTCAAAATTTGTGCTGTTTCATTTTTTCGAATCCACGTTGCTCCGCCTAGTGAAAGAAGCATTCATTATTTCTCTACATTGCTACATGTATTGTAGCATAGATCATAGAGAGATGTACTAGCGTACAAATCATCCTAATTTGACCATCAAACAAACAGCAGTTTTTGGCTGTTTTTTTGCTCAATGCTGAGGAGCTTTTTTGTTTTTGTTTTTGTTTTTGTTTTTGTTTTTGTTTTTGTTTTTGTTTTTGTTTTTGTTTTTGTTTTTGTTTTTGTTTTTGTTTTGTATTTGAAAAGAAGAGGTTCTTCGTCACTTTGGTTTTTAGTACTGTATCACCTTTTAGTGCTTCTTTAATTTTCTATTCTCAAATGTACCCGTGCATGTCTTCATGCCAGTTGGAAAGTGTTCCTGACCATCTCGATATGTTGACTGGAGCATTCTCAGGGACATTCGGGGTTTCCTGTGCATCCTTCAGGCTAGAAGTAAGATCTCAACAACTTCGAGATGGCGAAGGCCTCGGGGGGGACGGGAAACTATGATTACCTGGTGAAGCTGCTGCTGATTGGCGACTCTGGTCGGTTGCGTGCTAAGAGGAGGGGAAGGCTGCTGACTGTATGCCCAACAAACAGGAGTGGGAAAGAGTTGTTTGTTGCTGCGATTCTCCGATGATTCATTCACCACGAGCTTCATCACGACGATTGGTATTGACTTCAAGATCCGCACCATAGAACAAGAAGGTCTTGCTACTTTCCTTGAAAGCATAAACCCTCACGTGCTTGCGGAATGGTAGGAAAGCGATTGAAACTGCAGATATGGGATACCGCTGGTCAAGAACGTGAGTCTTTCTCGTTCTTATCTTTGCCTGTGTCTCTGATCAACTGAGTCGTTTACATGCCTCGCTCTGTTTTTCCATCGGTGACGTCGTCGCAGGGTTTCGAACCATTACTACAGCCTACTACCGTGGAGCGATGGGTATCCTGTTGGTTTACGACGTGCGTACTGGTTCTCTGTCTACTCTGCCTCGTGACTCTTGTTCCTACTCAAGGTCACTGATGAGCAATCGTTCAACAACATTCGTAACTGGATGAGACAAATTCAGCAACACGTGATCGTCTCCTGCCTCTCAGTTTGTGATCTCACAGGGTAGCAGGCGTCGGATAATGTGAACAAGATTCTTATTGGAAATAAGTGCGACATGCTTGACAAGAAGGTGCTCTGCTATGAAGTGCCCGGCGGTTCTCATACAGTTCCTCAGGTCATTGAGACCGCGAGAGGTCAGGCGCTGGCGGATGAGTTTGGCATCAAGTTCTTCGAAACAAGTGCAAAGAACAACATTAATGTCGAAAAGGCGTTCACGGTATCCGGACCGTCCTCCTTACATTCTTGCTTACACTTGGTTGATTTCCAGGAGATTGCACGAGATGTTATGGTTCGACTGAGAGAACAAGTGTGCTCCTGTGGCTACATGTTTGCAAAGCTGATGATGAATGTAGGAAGCGAAGGATGGTGGGAAGAAGGGTGGAGACACACTGGACTTAGCTAGTGGCGGGAAGCAAGGCAAGAAGGGTTGCTGTTAGCTGTTAACAAGCATCCACTTGTCTTGTATTGGATTCTTGATGATTGGCGGCAAGGACAACGATCGTGATATGTTATCTTTATGCGAAGTTTAATCTTCTCCTCTAAGTCATAAACGTGGCAACTTTGCTTTGCTCTCCCCTTGCTGCGACCACGCTGACTTCGGACAGTCAATGTCCATTATCTGCATCAAGATAATCAGCTCTTGACCTGCTCGTATGGATCGGATTACTCCGTGTACACTCCGTCGGCCTCCCCCGAACTTCGGAAGTTTGAGCCGCCAAGAAGCACTCCTCGTCGACTTCCGGAAGTCACGCGGGCCGGACCCGGCGTCCGGCGAAGACGGACGGTGACCCGGCCATACTGACGTAATACCAGTAGTGTTTCTGTTTGCAGGGAGGGGTAAGTTTTCCAGAGATTCACGGTCATTCAGGTGGTAGGGGTAGTCCATTGTTGTGGAAGGAAGGGAAATGGCGAAAACGCTGCGGGTGAGTGGAGAACATGGCGAAGATGGAAGTAAAAGGCGCCAGTTATGGAGCTGATGAGAACTATGACATGATCAGATGAAGGAAATGAACAGAATGAGCTGAAAGGCGATACCAATTAAAGAAGTATTCGAAAACAACAGACCGAACATGATCGAATTCTGAAATTTCAACGAATTTGGGAAGATACCTTATACACATGCCGCATGCTCTTGTTGCAAACGTTTGATCACAGACATGAAGTTGAAGATGCGAAGTTGTTCTATGATGCCCTTGACTTCTCGCTTGTGGCATCGTGAACTTCTCTTGTCCCTCTTGCTCTCGTCGCACAGTCTCATCATAGCAGTCCATCCAGGTGGACATGGAAGTTGATGTGATGGGATTGATCGTCCAGCAGGTGACGACAATGCCGGTGAGACAGGAAGAGAGCTGAGCACGAGGTTCCTGCCACAAGGTACAGCCGTCCTCACCTCATTGATGGCTGGGGTCCAAATGACCAGGCATGCAGGGGCCGATGGCAAGGTTATCCTCGTCGGTACTCTGGACGGGAAAATGCACGCGCTGGATAGTGAAGATGGAGCTAAACTTTGGGAGGTGATGAGAGAGTATGGAAAGCGGTGTTGAAGAAGAAGAAGAAGAAGAAGAAGAAGAAGAGGCAGATGATGATGGAGATGATGATGGAGATGATGATGGAGATGATGATGGAGATGATGATGATGATGATGATGGAGATGATGATGATGGAGATGATGATGGTGGTGGTGTTTGAGATCATAGCGACAGAGAGTAATTCGTATGGCAGGTCGACACGGGGGGTTGGATGGTTTCGACATATCAGAACAGCACTTCTATGGCGGGAAATGTCATCATCCCCACTCTATCTGGAGATATCTTGATTTATTCTTGTCAGTATTTTCTCGTTGTTTCACGTTGTCCTCGCGTTTTGGTCATGTTTTGATTTCATCTTGTCACTCTCTGCCTTTCTTTGCATTACTTTCATGTTTTGATTTTATCTTGTTACTCTCTGCCTTTCTTTGCATTACTTTCATGTTTTGATTTCATCTCTTCACTCTCTGCCTTTCTTTGCATTACTTTCATGTTTTGATTTCATCTCTTCACTCTCTGCCTTTCTTTGCATTTCTTTGAACGGGTGCTTTCTTTTTCCTCTACATTATCGGTCTTGAGTTCTAATTTTGCTTTCTTTCCATTAGCTTCTTCCCAAAGTCCTCTTCATAAACTTCCCGTCTCGCTTCACGATCTGGTTGACCACTCTCCGTTTGTATCCAAAGACGGATACATGTATGTGGGAACCAAGGTACGTGCGCATCACTACGTTGTATGCTGCCCTTGTCCAGCCCAGCAATGATCTGTTTGTCTTGCATTACAACTCGAACTTGATGGTGTATTGAAAGAATCTAGACGAGGATGTGTTGCATTTTCTTCTTTGAAAGATCTATCTGACAGAATTCCTCCCTCCTCCCCTCCCTCGTCCCTTTCCATTCTTCCTCTTCTCCTGCCCCTGCCCCTGCCCCTTCCCCCGTTCCACCTCTTTCTCTTGCTCCTGCTCCATTCCAATTCCAGGCATCCGAATACTTCACCATCGACGGTCGGACAGGAAGCAGCAGGAGAGCATCTGCCAACCCCCTCCAGCTGGACGCGAGCCCGGTAGCGGACAGAGCAGCGCAAGAGGCCGACTGGCGCCTCCTACTGGGCAGGAAGGACCTTCGGGTCTCAGCTATCGACCCCAGCACGGGGAGGATGAGCTGGAATGCGACTCTCTCCTTCTTCTCCGACCTCAAAGTTCGCTCGCTCCAGCAGGACTCTCTCAGCCCCCTCGACGACTTGGCTAAGCCCGTCCCCTTGAGGATCGTCACTACTGCTGGTGGGTAGCCCTTTCTATCCCCTCTCCACTTACCCGCTCCTCCTGCTCCTGCTCCGCTCCCGCTCCCGCTCCCGCATCTGCTTCGCTTCTCCCCCTCGTCCCCTCTTCTCTTGCTCCTCCTGCTCCTGCTTCTCCCCCTCGTCCCCTCCCCGTCTTCTCCTCCAGCTCCTGCTCCTTGTTGTTCTGTATACCTTCACACTCTCTTCCTTGTCGTCGCCCCCCCCTCCTCGAGCTGACGTGGTGCAGGAGGTGGAGCGCATGCGATCGACCCGCACACGGGCGAGCGACGCTGGACGGCACATCTTTCAGCTCCTGTCCTGCGCGCCTTCCAGGTCTCCGGTGGCAGGAGGAGGAGCATGGAGGTCGGGGAGGTGGAGGTGGTGGCGAGCACGGCTGTGGAAGAGAATCACTACGTGGACGAGGACTCGCAGCGGCTGCAGGAGGACGCGTTCCTGTTCGTCTCCTCGCTCAACCACCAGCTGTATGCTCGAGGCTCGGTGATCGCGGGAAGGATGAAGCCGCTGCTGCCTGTCTCGGCATCGAGGGATGGCGAGTACGGGGGGGAGGGGGAGGAGGAGGGGGAGGGGAAGGTCTGCACGAATGCCAACGAGGTTGGAGGAGAGCTAACGGTGTGGCAATCGTCCACTCCTTGTGGCCCCTGAGAGGTGAGAGGAAAGGGAGGGAGGGAGAGAGGAAGAGAAAGGGAGGGAGCGAGGGAGCGAGGGAGCGAGGGAAGGAAGGAGGGAGGGAGGATAAGGCATGGTGAGGAGGAGGAGGAGGGAATGAGAGGAAGGAGATGGAGGAGGAAAGAGGAGGAGGAGGAGGATTTAGAGAGGTTGATGGTTTTCGGCAGCCCAACATTTCCTGCATGTCTCACTGGCCTGCATGCTCTATGGTAAGCCTCCCCCC